TAAATAAATACGGGGTACCCTCAGAAAAAGGCGCAGTTCCCTGCGTGTGCTGTACAGGTCTCTCCACAACATTTAACAGATTATCCTCCTGTCCTCAGCCACCCGCTACGGGTTTGGGTTCCTGCTGTTGAGTCCCAATTTGAAGAATCCTGTAACACCCGCCCCTGCCCCCCCGCATTAAACACCACAAACAACAGCTGAAGGCAGAGTCGCCTTCCCAAACGTATCACACAAAATATATTCTCAATAAGGCAAATGCTGGTTCCTCATTTATTTACTAGCAGTTTTTGGCCACCACTCGGGTATACTTGCAGTGAGCTTCACTTTATCACCTGCTATTTGAAGAATCCTGTAACACCCGCCCCTGCCCCCCCGCATTAAACACCACAAACAACAGCTGAAGGCAGAGTCGCCTTCCCAAACGTATCACACAAAATATATTCTCAATAAGGCAAATGCTGGTTCCTCATTTATTTACTAGCAGTTTTTGGCCACCACTCGGGTATACTTGCAGTGAGCTTCACTTTATCACCTGCTATATTTAAAAAAAAATTTATATTAGCTAACCTCAACAAAGCTATACCAAGTTCACCCTCTCCAACCCGGAACTTGCCGGCTGACTTTCCCGATTCTGTTAAGATCTCAGCACCCTCGGGAATGCTGTCTTTGGGAAGAGGAGCTGAAAAGCAGACTGGCAGCAGCCGTTTGCGAATGACACCCATGTGGTAGGTCCTGGCTGTCAGCTCCTGTCCAATGTAACAGCCTTTGGTGAAGCTGATGCCATTCATGTAGGCCAAGTTTGATTCCAGTGGGAGGGCTACTCCAGGAGGGAGATCTTTCACACCTTCGGGAATTCCTAGGAAAAAAAGTAAAACCAACAGGTAAATAGGGTTAATTCTTCAGTATTTAAGATTTCTGGAGTATGCTTCCTCTGTGAGTTGTAAAACCAAGAGAACTCATAAGAAGCAATGTGAAATATTGAACTTTCCAGTACACCGGTTTGGGCCTGAGTGAAGTCTTCAGCCAGAGATGGTTAGCAAAGATTACTCTTAAGGGTAAACAGAGAACTGCACTAGAACCCAATTTCATGAAGCTTACAGAACCTCACAGGAACACCGGTGGAAATTCAAAGCACCCAGAATGATGCAGACTCCCATACAAAGGCATCAACGTACATGTATAAAGCCAGCGGCAAAATCCTTCTCACCCACACCCCACAAATAAACTTTAATGTCAATACGAGTTATTTTCTTCAGCGCTAAAGAACGTAAGTTGACCGACTGCCTTTGTTTAAGCACAAATGCCGAATGTCTGTATAATTAGCCCTTCTTTCTGTGACCAATGACATAAAAATCATATTTTTTTTGAAGCAGAGTGTTGGACCCAACCTTCCGCAGCAGCACAGCAAGACGAGTGCTGGTGTTTAACGAAGGCAGCACACCACCACAGTTCAGTCCAGTTTGACCCATTTACAGCTTGCTTTTCCGAACTGGATGGACTCAAGTTTAAGCAGAGGACCATCATCTTTCAGTCTGCCAACTAATTTAATCCACTACCTGTGTGGACACAGTAAAATTAACAGCAGCTCTGTGCAGGCACATGGGCTCCCAGGACAGAGTTCCCCCTCAAACTGAACGTCTGCCCCTTAGCCTCTGAGTTAACTCTGTGAATCCAGTCATACATTTTTAGGAAAGTAAGTTAGGGTGTTTCCTTTTCCTTCCTCAGCAACAGGGAAAACACACAAACTGCGCGTAATGCCAAAACAATCAAAATGACTCAAACCACAATAGTTTCCCTCTAAGAAAATGAATAATCCTGGTTTTCTTTTGCTGTTAGCATTCCTGACCCACCGCCCCATAATCTTAGTAATAGGAAACCACACCCAAATATTGACTCTGCCACCAGACAGAATTATAGCTACCAGATCACTTTTTTCCTCGAAGTAGCAAATGATACCTGTACTTACTAACAAGTTAAACACATTGAGACATGCCAATGTGGCTTTTATAATTTATTCCTCTGGCTTATATCAGTGTACGGACTCTGATAATAAGATGAAATTGTGCTAATACATAAATAAATACATTTTGCAAAATCCAGTGACACAGAGTGCAAAACAGGACTTGGCTTTACCTTGTTTATACCTGTGCCTGTGGTAATCCTGAATGTTTCCAATGTGACTCCCAGGGATAATTTCTGACAGATTTGCTCCTTTCTTTGTAATCAGTCTCCAGCCCATGACTTCTGTTCTGGGATCAGGAGTTAAAATCAGAGCCTGGTTTGCACATTTAGCAAGGGAACCGGCAATGTCTCCAGCCCGCTCCCCGGGGATGACGGCCCACAAAGAGAGGTCAAGGCAAGGGGTGATGTTTACTTTCCTCCGGATCCTGTACAGTTTCAGATGTTTTTGTATGGCATCCAGCACGCCGCTGTCACACTCCAGCAGGATGTGCGGCTCTTCTTCTGGACACTCATGAAGCCTAAAAAAGCAAGACCTACAAGGTCAGAAAAACAAATCCCAACAGCGGCAGAAGCCAACAAGCTTTATCTTGATCCTGGTGCGAATCCAGAGATCTGGGGAATGTCACCGAAGGCTGCTGGCACACACAACAGCAGCACTTGGCTCCCCATAGTGAAATACCTGAACTTTTCAGGCATCCATTCTACTCTTTTCTAGCAAATACTGCCCTCGCCTCTCGTGGGGACAGAAACAAGTCTGGCCGTACCGTCTCCTGTACCCCTCACGCTTACCTAAAGCGAGGTGACTTTCAGCCCCCTTCATTCAGCTGCCCCTTCCATTAGTTACACCGTTACCCTGACCCGATAGTTTATGTCAGCCCAATTTTTCATTGACTGACACCACATCTACATCAGGTGGTTTATACGGTGTCGTTATTATGTCACGCGGCATGCTGCGGTGTCGGTGACTACGGCACCTGTGAGACAGTTGCAAACCGCTTGTTTCGGATGTGGCCCAAATATACCCGTAGGCACCGTGTCCGGGGCCTGCCCTGAGAGCTGCTTTAAAAATATTAAGATCATGATGCTTTTCTGCTGGGGTAACTCACAGAGACTGCAACTAGTGATGAAAAATACAGAGAATAAGAGCTTTTTTCCACATTAATTTATAAAGACGAGCCAGAAATGCCTTAGAGACC